AATAACAGATAAAAGAAAGTGAACCAACAAACAACTCGACTAATAACAGATAAAAGAAAGTGAACCAACAAACAACTCGACTAATAACAGATAAAAGAAACTGAACCCACTAACAACTCGACTAGTAACAGAGAAAAGAAACTGAACCAACTAACAACTCGACTCATTACAGAGAAAAGAAACTGAACCAACAAACAACTCGACTAATAACAGATAAAAGAAACTGAACCAACAAACAACTCGACTAATAACAGAAAAGAAATTGAACCAACTAACAACTCGACTAATAACAGATAAAAGAAAGTGAACCAACAAACAATTCGACTAATAACAGATAAAAGAAAGTGAACCAACAAACAACTCGACTAATAACAGAAAAGAAACTGAACCAACTAACAACTCGACTAATAACAGAGAAAAGAAACTGAACCAACTAACAACTCGACTAATAACACAGAAAAGAAACTGAACCAACTAACAATTCGACTAATAACAGAGAAAAGAAACTGAACCCACTAACAACTCGACTAGTAACAGAGAAAAGAAACTGAACCAACTAACAACTCGACTCATTACAGAGAAAAGAAACTGAACCAACTAACAACTCGACTCATTACAGAGAAGAAACTTTAACACATTTTTGTTAGACTTAAAAAAAATTATTAAATGATTTTCTTTATAACTGTCAGAGAATCAGTGATGTAAAAACACCTTACGTCTATTGGTTGCCTAACCAGTGATATAAAAACACCTTACGTTTATTGGTTGCCTAACCAGTGATGTAAAAACACCTTACGTCTATTGGTTGCCTAACCAGTGATTTTAAACACAAAGCTACACGATGGGCTATCTGTGCTCTGCCCACCACGGGTATAGAAACCCGGATTCTGGCGTTGACGTTACTGTTAACGTGGCGTCATCGGGTACTTTGCACGACTGAACACAACATATTAATTATACCCAATGGTGACGTCACGAACATAACCTTGACCTTAGCATAAATATAAATCTACTGTCTGCCTTTTATTTATTCTAGGTTTGTATTCCTTTATTATAATAGCTTCCTTTGTTTTACGTGTGTTAACATTAGATTCTCGACAAATAATTTTCTCTAGCTTATTTTCAGTACAATGCTCTGTATTATAAATGTTGGTAAACATGTGATGGAACATGTTCTTGTTCTCTTGTTTAAATTCCTACCAGTCTCCCCTATACAGATAGTATTACAGTCCGTACATTCTACACTGCAGACTACTTCTTTCTCAATAGTAGTCGGTTTAATTCTATATTTTATAGATTGTATTTAACTTTTTTCTTTAAAAAAATAAGTTTGCCTTTGAAGTTCATACACCCTTTCTGTTTCTTTCCACAATCCTTTTATCGTGTTTGATAAGTCAGGTACTTACGGAATTACACATATCAACATATCAGCGTTTTCTAATGTACTTATCCATTATCATTGTCATGAGTGAATTTAAAGATATTAGAAACTGTTAAGCCTTTTGTCTAGAAACTAAAGTCAGCAAATCTATCATCAACATATCTGACTAAATATATCCTACATTAACCATACTTTTAACTACTATCCAGCATCTTCATAAAGATGTTAGCGAGATCACGTGTTAATAGACTGCCCATACTTATTCCCTCAATCTGATCGTAAAAGTTCTTATTAACTTGAAATGTGGTTTGTGTTGTTGTAAAGATAAACACGCGTTTTAAAACTTCTACAGAAAGTTGTGTTCTTGGAAGACAGAAAGGAACACAATCAATAGATTCGTTGATTGATACTTGTGTAGATAATAAAACAACATCAAAACTAACTAAAAAAACTATGAGGATTGAATCTAACCAATAATTTAACGAAAATGTTCTGTATTATTTATAACTCACTTTCCATATAATACATAAGGTCTCAATATCCGGGTTAAAAATTTACCCAGGTTATAATTAAACAGTCCTCTGGTGGAAACAACAGGGCTTAGAGATACATCTTGTTTACGTATCTTAGGCAACCAATAGACGTAAGGTGTTTTTACATCACTGGTTAGGCAACCAATAGACGTAAGGTGTTTTTACATTTCAAACAAATATTGATAACTATGCCACCGTAATAACCCAAGCTATTAAGGAAACAGTTCCCAGCAAATCACTAAAATACGACCCGCGTATCTGGAAATTAACGCCCGGAGTACATATAATTATTGTAAATAGAAAATAATTCTGGCGTGAATTCATATCTATTCGTAATCCGAGCTAAACCACTAATAAATGGCAAGAATGACCTAATCAAAAATTAATAGCATAACAACAACTGGGAGAATATATGTAAATCAATAGATGAATCCAAACCAGATTCTACTAAATTCTGGAATCAAGTCAAATCCCTTACTAATAATAAAGCTAATAATAGCATCAATAAAATCCATTACAATAACACAATCGCTACAACCAATCAAGAACAGGCCGAACTATCTGCCCATTATTACAAAAATACATCTGTAACCCCTAATCTTGCTTCATTCGATGGACATCACTTTAAAGAAATTAACATATTTGTAGCGACAAATAATTCATTTATATCCACCTTCCCAGTATCCTTACCATCTGCTCACGAACCCACGGGTATTTGTACTAAACCTATTACCATTGCCGAGATTAAAGTAAACCCGAAGAATATTAAACAAAAAGTTCCCGTTGAAGACGGAATAAACAATATGGTTCTTTAAAACCTTACAGAAACCACATTCAACCATTTAGTCGCAATATACAATTTATCACTACCCCTCCCTATAGAAGTCCGCAGTTACTAAAGTAGTCGCTAAAAAGAAGAATCCTACCGATCCAAGCAATTACAGATCCATTAGTTTACTAAACACTTTAGGGAAATTAATGTAGAAGTTAGTAACTAATCGCTTAAACCTAATAACATCTTGAATAATATTCAAAATTCCGGCAGAAAACACAGACAAATTTCTGACCATCTAATTAGACTTTTCGAATCAATTTATCGAGGATTCACCAGAAAATAAATAACGGTATCTAGTTTGTTTTGCTTTTTTTTTAGATGTACGAAAAGCCTTCGATATGGCACAATGGCTTATGGTACAAACTAACTAAGAACCATATACCCACACTCCTCACACGATGGATATCTAGTTTTTTTACAGACCGAATAGCCAGCGTCCAAATAAGTAATACAAACTCCTGTCCCTTCACTTTCACGGCCGGAGTTCAGTATTAATCTCTACTCTTTACAACCTATTTATCAATGACATTCCTATCCCACCCTCACTCAACATACTGGAGTACTTCTAGCAACCCATATACTGCAACATTAAGAGTCCAAACTTCATTAAATACTGAATCTAAATGGTGTAATAAATGACGTGTTTCCCTCAACTCTCCTAAAACTCAAGCAATAGCCTTTCTCAAGAAAATCAATAATAAAAACAAAAGTTTCCAAATCTTAATCTCACCCTTTGTTAAATTTCTAGGAATAACACTCACTCAAACACTTAACTGGAACCTACACCTGAATAATGTCATAAGCAACGCGAATAATAGAATAACCTAATAATGGCTGGAGACGGCTTGAATGGGTAATGA